GGACAAAAAGTGTGTCCCCAATTGTTTTATGTATACAGACGTGTTCAGCGTGCTCCAAAGTGCATTTCTACCTTAAAATCTCCTCTGACCCAAATTGTGTCATAGTTCAGATTTTTGTGTGTGTGTATGGTTGCAGCACCGCCCCCCCCACCCAAATCTGTGTATGTTGTAAAGCGCCCCCTAATGGAAGTGTGTGAATTGCACCCGGGTCACATGATCCATTTAGACCAATCACTGCCCTGCTTGGAGCAAACGAGGAAGTCTGTCAGCTCAAAGCCTACTATAAGCGTAGGCTAACGGTAGCGCTGTATATTAAACATTAGCTATGACCTTTTAGACATTCAGTAGCTTATATACAGAATACGTTTAGAAAATCATTTTGATTTCTAGAAAAATAGACAGTGATTTTAGCAGTAATTTAACTTTTATTTTTTTTCTACACAAACACCGTCATTAAAATGTTCCTAATATTTATCATTATGAATATTTAACTAGATTGTGCTGAGCTAACGCTAACATATTAGCATCATTAATTGGCAACTAGTGGACGTGAAAAACGCAAATACAGTCACAAATTGTGTATATAAAGTAAAAACCCTGAAAGCAGCACTGCTAATATCAGCAAACATGTGCTGTGTTCAGAATGTTCACTCATCCCTCATTCGCTAGTGTGAACTTATCAGGGAGCAATCTATACAATTCAGGTACAGCAGGACTAAATGGGTTCAGACTATGTAGTGCACTATTTCTGTAATAGGGACTGAATCAAAATGAAACCCAAAGCTCCCGCATGGTTTTATCCACGTTTGGCCGAGGAGGATTTTGCCCCGAGCACAAGGGAGAACCTGCACTAAGAGCGAAGACGCTGGACAAGGTACGTGGTTTGAGCAAAATACTGATGACTCTAAAGTCATGAATTACTTTTAAACGCATTTTCGCCAAAGTTATCGTCTGTGAAAAGTGTGGATAAAGAAGCTAGTTAGTTAGCTAGCTTGTTTAGCTTCGAAGTTAGCTTCTTTAAAACAGCTCCAAGTTAAATAACTAACTACACACCACAATGCGGATTTGATTTGAGCTGTTTATTGCTAATCCATACGTGTTTATAGGATCAGCATTATATGAGGAGTGTATTATGCTGTATAGTGAGTGCAGCTCGCCGCTAGCGAGCTCGCCTTTGGCCGCAGCCAGCTCCCTTTCCACCGTGCTCCGCAACGTTAGCTCTCGATGCTAGCGCAGCAGAGATGACGCACTCTGGAAATGGTAGTTAAAGTTAGTTGGCTGCTATGCTAGCAAATGCTCAAGTGATGCAGGTTAAGAAGATGAAACATCTAATTTGAGCGAATGATGTCGAGTAACCGATGTTGGAGACACAGTAAGACTGAATTTAACCTGTTATAAGACGTGTATTAGGTGGTAGCTAAGCTAACGGCCGCAGGCTAGCGCCGTAATCGGGTCCAGTGTACTTGTCTTAGTCGGTTTATAAATTAGCTTGTTTTTTTGATGGTTAAACCTTTATTAAGTGATTATCTGAGAAGCAGAAACCCTGCAGCAGCACTGCGAATGCCAGCTAACATATGCTGTTTCAGTGGCTGATGTCTGAGAGGCAGTGAGGCCGAGTTTAACCCGTTACGTGGCGTGTGTTAGCTGGTAGCGCGCTAGCTAGCGTCAGAGTCGCACGCTGGCTCTTTAACCGGCTCCAGTGTGACTTGTCTGGTTACCGTGGCTCACTAATCAGCTATTGTTTTATGGCTAAAACATTATTAAGAGATTATCTGAAAAGCTAGAAGTTTCTGATTAATAATTTTAAAAGTGGTGTGAGTGTTCTTTATTTATTTATGTTGGGCTTTTCTGTAGGTCATTTGCTAATGCGTGTGATATTACTGATACTGAATATTAGTTATTCTAATGGAAATTTTTCTAAGTTATAATGGGAAAAAGCTAAACATTTGACATTCTTTCCATTCCAGTGTTAAAGTTACAGTTAATGTATGCATAAGTGACTGATCTTCATTGATGTAGTTCAGGAATTTGCAACTCCAGGTCACAGTTCTGCACAATTTGTTGATTTTTCTGCTCAAACACACTGGCTAAACCTGTTAATTAACTAATGAGTTAAAAAGGTGTGCTTAAACAGTAAACCCCTTAAATTGTTGGACTGCAGCCCCCAAGACTGTAAGAGGTTTTTGAAGAAAGTCAGACAAAATGTAGATAATGTTGGTATCAGTTGGACAGTTTGACAGTTTTATGATTAAATTAAAATAGTCTGCTGTTATTTGTGACAAATCTAAATGTTTTAAAGCTGAAATGTTGACTGATTTTTTTTTAACAGAAAGACTGTTAAGACAAAATGGCAAAAAGACTGATAAGACAAAAGCAACTTAGTCCACAGCAAGATGCTGAGATTTACATCAAAATGAAGACAGACAAGCCGGGTCTTGAGGAAAAATTCATCAGCTCTTTTAAAGGTGAATCATTTATTTGTTGAAAATGTGATTCTGTTGAGTGTGTGATCTCTTGTGAATCACAATGTTTTCACGTGTTTGTGTATAGTAGCATAAAAAAAAAATGTCTTTTCCAGGGCGAGGTGTATTTTCAACTGCAAACTTTTGCAAGGGAGATTTTGTCCTGGAGTACAGAGGGCAACTCTTAACACAAAATCTTACCCAGAAAAATATTTCAGAAACAGTGTTTATTTTTGATTTTCAATGGAGAGGGAAGTACTGGAGGTAAGTGACATCACTCTAATTGCTGCATCATAATTAAGCAATAGAACACAGAGGGAGTGTGTTATCGCGAAATAACATCACGGCTGTGATTTGGTCACCGTAGATCATCACAGCCGTGATGTTATTGGTGATCACACTCCTCGAGTGTTCTATTGCTTTTATACAACAGTTAAATAAATACAGTAATAAATTAATAAACTGGGCCGTGAACGCGGCGTTTAATATGTTTTAATGTTCGCAGTTCCTTCACCAAATTATAGTTCCTTAACGAGCAGCTTGTTGCTACGTCAGAGTAACGAGCTCCGCCCACTCACTGCACAGCCGGCAGTTCGTTCTCCAGCTCCTCACACTAAATTCCCAAACTGTCATCACCACTGAGCAGCTTTTTTGTTTTTTATTGTGGCAGTTTTATGGCTCAGTCTGATTTTGTCAGACTCTGAAGATCAGACTACACGTTTGGCGAATGGTGTTCGGTTCATTTCTGGCTGATTCCAGGTTGTTTAGCTGTTCTTCTGTCACAGCTGCCAACTGAAAAGCTGCTCAGTGGTGATGACAGTTTTACTTCGCAAAGTAAGAAGTAAAAACATTTAAATTCATTAAACTCGTTGCTTAGCAACGGCGTCTCAGCGGAGTGATAGTGTTTGTGAAAAACCTGTGATGTTATTGCAAAATATCAGCACGGTTAGAACGCTTCTCACCAATCAGCTTGCGTGGCTGGAACTAACTGTTGTATGACATTAAAATAAGTGTTTACTTGTCTGCTAAGTGCTCTTAATATCCAATGCTTTTTACAGATTTAAATAAGACATACATTTTTGTGCATGTTTTTTGTGTCTGTTATTGTTCAGTGTGGATGCATCCGTTGAAGACAAGTCTTTAGGGAGGCTTGTAAATGATGAACACAAGAAACCAAACTGCAAAATAAAAGTCGTTGAGGTGGATGGAACGCCGCACCTGTGCTTATTTGCACTTCGAGATATTTCACCAGGAGAAGAAATTACCTATAACTATGGGGATTCAGATTGGCCCTGGCGCAAACAGGTATGACAGTTGTTTAATTCTTTTTATTTATTTTTTTTCTTTTGTGATTTGTAATGAAGGTGTCCTTTAAAGTAGGATCTGATATTATAACACACAAATGAATTATGAGGTGAAATTATTTAAATTATTATTTATTATTTTTTACTAGGTTAAACCAGAAGCGTCCACTGTCAGGGCTCATCAGAAGCTTCTTATCACTACAGGGGATGAGGTATGTTCAGCACAGCAAATAAATGGACACGCCAGATATTTAAACATTAACCGTTGGTTTTTATGATAAAGCACAGCCATCAACGTTCAACATTAGTGCATGCAGCCGCTCAGTGAATTCCAGCACCACTCCTGACATGCCAACCAGCATCTCTGTAATACTGCATTAAATTAAATCCAGAGTACAATAATGGTAATACATGACATTAACTGAAATTTACATGGTTAAAGGTATTTGGTCTGATATTTAAAGGAAACTAGTTTTTTTTAGTTTTCATACTTCATTTGTGAGTGTTAACAAAGTGAAACATCATTGGTTGTATCTGAGGCTCTGTAGTAGAAAAGAGGATTTGGAGATTTACACAGGTGACACATGGGTGGATGTGGCTCAAGTGGTTAATATTTCATGATTTATTGATGTCATACAATTGGTCCAAAAGTATATACAGAGTTTTTTTCTACTACTTAATATTTACTTTGCTTTGTGTTTAAGGTAAAAGAAACTCTTCCCAAGAGTTATTCTTTGAAATGTACAGAGACAAAATTGACTGCTGAAAAAGTTCAAGAAAGGAGTGAGTCTCTCAGAATTATCGAGAGTGAGGTAGGGAAAACTATCACAATATGCATTTAATGTTGTGCCACCGTCACTAATGTAAATATTTGGTAGCATGCTAGACAGTGTCGATATTCTTAGCTGTGACTGTGTTGTCCCATGAACAGATGTGGATATTTCCATGGTTATCATATCACAAATATTGTTAGCGTCCAGCATGTACTCAGCACTAAATGATGAATCATTTGCCTGTTTGGTTTTTTGATTCTATGTATTGTGCCAAATAGGGAAGACTGTATTTCTAGATCTCTTATTTAATTAACCATCAGTGTGGTGCAGTAAAGGTTCTGCTTGGATTGTAGGAACAAGCAGAACCCTCCGTGAGCTGCATCCAAAAGAAGCCTGAGACAGACTGGTCTTCCTGCCCAGTTGAGGAAGAGGCCAGCTCACAGCACAAGCCTTCAGATGCTGGAGACGACCTGGTATAAACATGTCTTACCATGATATACCATACCATGCCTGCCTTTTTACGGAGCTGTCCCCAATGTACGATTTGTCAAGTGTGTGTGTATGTTCGGTGTCCCCAGTTGTAGAGTTGATGATAAGACTGGACTGGTATGAAGTTGCTATGATCCAGATCGTCCCCGATCTGCTTAGAGAGTTTGTGTATGTGTGTCCAGTGACCCCAAACTCACTATAGAGCTCCAGTTGTTGCTTGAAGCTTGGTTCTTTGATCTGATGCTCTGTCTAGTTGAATTATTTCTTATTTGTTGTCACTTTGTACAGATTCTGTTGCGTTTCTTTTAATTTTCCATTGTTTTCTGTTTACTTTTGTTTGAATTTAGGTACGAACAAAACATGTCAAGAGCCATTTTGTGAGGAACAAGCAGACCATTTCTTCACGTCAGCCTAAAGGAAGGGTTAAGTCGTTCAAGGAGTGTGTTGGAATTACAGAGAGTGAGGTATGGAATACCACCGCAACACAGTGTCAGTATCTAACCACCATTACGACTGCTAGTATTTACCAAGGATTCACGTAGCCAAGAGTATGCAGTTTTATATTTTTAGTTAATTGAGAGCTGCGCTTGTGTGTTGGTGAAACACAAAAGGATTGTTGATGTCCATATGGTTTTATGTTTGTATTTAGAAACTAGTGTTAATTTTAATTAAAATACGTTCATCTTTCTTTTTGTAGTACAGTTTTTGCTGTTTTGAGAATAGAAATACCTTTGAGTTGTGTTTTTAAGCGTCTACGTTAAAGACCCAGAAATGTGCTGCTGTTGAAATTCTGTTAGGTGTTGATTAGTCTTTCCCAGATGTTGAGATAATCTGTCTTGGATTATAGGAACAAGCAGAACCCTCCGTGAGCTGCATCCCGAAGAAGCCTGAGACAGACTGGTCTTCCTGCCCCGTTGAGGAAGAGGCCAGTTCACAGCACAAGCCTTTGGATGCTGGAGGAGACCTGGTATAAACATGTCTTACCATGATATACCATACCATGCCTGCCTTTTTACGGAGCTGTCCCCAATGTACGATTTGTCAAGTGTGTGTGTATGTTCGGTGTCCCCAGTTGTAGACTTGATGATAAGACTGGACTGGTATGAAGTGGCTATGATCCAGATCGTCCCCGATCTGCTTAGAGAGTTTGTGTATGTGTGTCCAGTGACCCCAAACTCACTATAGAGCTCCAATTGTTGCTTGAAGCTTGGTTCTTTGATCTGATGCTTTGTCTAGTTTAATTATTTATTTTTATTTATTTTTATGTCATAGGTATGGCAGGCCTTCAGATTATGTGAAGCATCACCTTTGACTGTCTTTGTTTCCATTCATCTGCTTTGAATTCAGGTACAGACAGAACTTTCTGAGAGGAAGCTTATGAAGCCCAAACAGACCATTTCAACTTCCCAAAGAGCTCAAGAAATGGTTAAGCCACCAACAAAGTCTTTTGGAATTAGAGAGAGTGAGGTATGGACTACCATTGCAACATTTATTTTGTAAACTAGCCCTACTGTTGGTGATTATGAAGATTCAAATTGCCAGCTGTTTTTAATTCTTACTGCATTGTTGAGTAGAAATGACAAATGTAGAGTTTTGTAGCTGTGACTGTGTTGACCTGTGAACAGATGTTGATATTTCCATAGTTATCATATCACAAATATTGTTAGCATCCAGCATGTACTCAGCACTAAATGATGAATCATTTGCCTGTTTGGTTTCTTCTGTGCTCTTGTGCTAAGTAGGGAAGACTGTCAGTTGTATTTCTAGATCTCTTATTTAATTAACCATCAATGTGGTGCAATAAAGGTTCTGCTTGGATTGTAGGAGGAAGCAGAACCCTCCGTGAGCTGCATCCCGAAGAAGCCTGAGACAGACTGGTCTTCCTGCCCCGTTGAGGAAGAGGCCAGTTCACAGCACAAGCCTTTGGATGCTGGAGGAGACCTGGTATAAACATGTCTTACCATGATATACCATACCATGCCTGCCTTTTTACGGAGCTGTCCCCAATGTACGATTTGTCAAGTGTGTGTGTATGTTCGGTGTCCCCAGTTGTAGAGTTGATGATAAGACTGGACTGGTATGAAGTTGCTATGATCCAGATCGTCCCCGATCTGCTTAGAGAGTTTGTGTATGTGTGTCCAGTGACCCCAAACTCACTATAGAGCTCCAATTGTTGCTTGAAGCTTGGTTCTTTGATCTGATGCTCTGTCTAGTTGAATTATTTCTTATTTGTTGTCACTTTGTACAGATTCTGTTGCGTTTCTTTTAATTTTCCATTGTTTTCTGTTTACTTTTGTTTGAATTTAGGTACGAACAAAACATGTCAAGAGCCATTTTGTGAGGAACAAGCAGACCATTTCTTCACGTCAGCCTAAAGGAAGGGTTAAGTCGTTCAAGGAGTGTGTTGGAATTACAGAGAGTGAGGTATGGAATACCACCGCAACACAGTGTCAGTATCTAACCACCATTACGACTGCTAGTATTTACCAAGGATTCACGTAGCCAAGCGTATGCAGTTTTATATTTTTAGTTAATTGAGAGCTGCGCTTGTGTGTTGGTGAAACACAAAAGGATTGTTGATGTCCATATGGTTTTATATTTGTATTTAGAAACTAGTGTTAGTTTTAATTAAAATACGTTCATCTTTCTTTTTGTAGTACAGTTTTTGCTGTTTTGAGAATAGAAATACCTTTGAGTTGTGTTTTTAAGCGTCTACGTTAAAGACCCAGAAATGTGCTGCTGTTGAAATTCTGTTAGGTGTTGATTAGTCTTTCCCAGATGTTGAGATAATCTGTCTTGGATTATAGGAACAAGCAGAACCCTCCGTGAGCTGCATCCCGAAGAAGCCTGAGACAGACTGGTCTTCCTGCCCCGTTGAGGAAGAGGCCAGTTCACAGCACAAGCCTTTGGATGCTGGAGGAGACCTGGTATAAACATGTCTTACCATGATATACCATACCATGCCTGCCTTTTTACGGAGCTGTCCCCAATGTACGATTTGTCAAGTGTGTGTGTATGTTCGGTGTCCCCAGTTGTAGACTTGATGATAAGACTGGACTGGTATGAAGTGGCTATGATCCAGATCGTCCCCGATCTGCTTAGAGAGTTTGTGTATGTGTGTCCAGTGACCCCAAACTCACTATAGAGCTCCAATTGTTGCTTGAAGCTTGGTTCTTTGATCTGATGCTTTGTCTAGTTTAATTATTTATTTTTATTTATTTTTATGTCATAGGTATGGCAGGCCTTCAGATTATGTGAAGCATCACCTTTGACTGTCTTTGTTTCCATTCATCTGCTTTGAATTCAGGTACAGACAGAACTTTCTGAGAGGAAGCTTATGAAGCCCAAACAGACCATTTCAACTTCCCAAAGAGCTCAAGAAATGGTTAAGCCACCAACAAAGTCTTTTGGAATTAGAGAGAGTGAGGTATGGACTACCATTGCAACATTTATTTTGTAAACTAGCCCTACTGTTGGTGATTATGAAGATTCAAATTGCCAGCTGTTTTTAATTCTTACTGCATTGTTGAGTAGAAATGACAAATGTAGAGTTTTGTAGCTGTGACTGTGTTGACCTGTGAACAGATGTTGATATTTCCATAGTTATCATATCACAAATATTGTTAGCATCCAGCATGTACTCAGCACTAAATGATGAATCATTTGCCTGTTTGGTTTCTTCTGTGCTCTTGTGCTAAGTAGGGAAGACTGTCAGTTGTATTTCTAGATCTCTTATTTAATTAACCATCAATGTGGTGCAATAAAGGTTCTGCTTGGATTGTAGGAGGAAGCAGAACCCTCCGTGAGCTGCATCCAGAAGAAGCCTGAGACAGACTGGTCTTCCTACCCAGTTGAGGAAGAGGCCAGCTCACAGCACAAGCCTTTGGATGCTGGAGGAGACCTGGTATAAACATGTCTTACCATGATATACCATACCATGCCTGCCTTTTTACGGAGCTGTCCCCAATGTACGATTTGTCAAGTGTGTGTGTATGTTCGGTGTCCCCAGTTGTAGAGTTGATGATAAGACTGGACTGGTATGAAGTTGCTATGATCCAGATCGTCCCCGATCTGCTTAGAGAGTTTGTGTATGTGTGTCCAGTGACCCCAAACTCACTATAGAGCTCCAATTGTTGCTTGAAGCTTGGTTCTTTGATCTGATGCTCTGTCTAGTTGAATTATTTCTTATTTGTTGTCACTTTGTACAGATTCTGTTGCGTTTCTTTTAATTTTCCATTGTTTTCTGTTTACTTTTGTTTGAATTTAGGTACGAACAAAACATGTCAAGAGCCATTTTGTGAGGAACAAGCAGACCATTTCTTCACGTCAGCCTAAAGGAAGGGTTAAGTCGTTCAAGGAGTGTGTTGGAATTACAGAGAGTGAGGTATGGAATACCACCGCAACACAGTGTCAGTATCTAACCACCATTACGACTGCTAGTATTTACTAAGGATTCACGTAGCCAAGAGTATGCAGTTTTATATTTTTAGTTAATTGAGAGCTGCGCTTGTGTGTTGGTGAAACACAAAAGGATTGTTGATGTCCATATGGTTTTATGTTTGTATTTAGAAACTAGTGTTAATTTTAATTAAAATACGTTCATCTTTCTTTTTGTAGTACAGTTTTTGCTGTTTTGAGAATAGAAATACCTTTGAGTTGTGTTTTTAAGCGTCTACGTTAAAGACCCAGAAATGTGCTGCTGTTGAAATTCTGTTAGGTGTTGATTAGTCTTTCCCAGATGTTGAGATAATCTGTCTTGGATTATAGGAACAAGCAGAACCCTCCGTGAGCTGCATCCCGAAGAAGCCTGAGACAGACTGGTCTTCCTGCCCCGTTGAGGAAGAGGCCAGTTCACAGCACAAGCCTTTGGATGCTGGAGGAGACCTGGTATAAACATGTCTTACCATGATATACCATACCATGCCTGCCTTTTTACGGAGCTGTCCCCAATGTACGATTTGTCAAGTGTGTGTGTATGTTCGGTGTCCCCAGTTGTAGACTTGATGATAAGACTGGACTGGTATGAAGTGGCTATGATCCAGATCGTCCCCGATCTGCTTAGAGAGTTTGTGTATGTGTGTCCAGTGACCCCAAACTCACTATAGAGCTCCAATTGTTGCTTGAAGCTTGGTTCTTTGATCTGATGCTCTGTCTAGTTGAATTATTTATTTTTATTTATTTTTATGTCATAGGTATGGCAGGCCTTCAGATTATGTGAAGCATCACCTTTGACTGTCTTTGTTTCCATTCATCTGCTTTGAATTCAGGTACAGACAGAACTTTCTGAGAGGAAGCTTATGAAGCCCAAACAGACCATTTCAACTTCCCAAAGAGCTCAAGAAATGGTTAAGCCACCAACAAAGTCTTTTGGAATTAGAGAGAGTGAGGTATGGACTACCATTGCAACATTTATTTTGTAAACTAGCCCTACTGTTGGTGATTATGAAGATTCAAATTGCCAGCTGTTTTTAATTCTTACTGCATTGTTGAGTAGAAATGACAAATGTAGAGTTTTGTAGCTGTGACTGTGTTGACCTGTGAACAGATGTTGATATTTCCATAGTTATCATATCACAAATATTGTTAGCATCCAGCATGTACTCAGCACTAAATGATGAATCATTTGCCTGTTTGGTTTCTTCTGTGCTCTTGTGCTAAGTAGGGAAGACTGTCAGTTGTATTTCTAGATCTCTTATTTAATTAACCATCAATGTGGTGCAATAAAGGTTCTGCTTGGATTGTAGGAGGAAGCAGAACCCTCCGTGAGCTGCATCCCGAAGAAGCCTGAGACAGACTGGTCTTCCTGCCCCGTTGAGGAAGAGGCCAGTTCACAGCACAAGCCTTTGGATGCTGGAGGAGACCTGGTATAAACATGTCTTACCATGATATACCATACCATGCCTGCCTTTTTACGGAGCTGTCCCCAATGTACGATTTGTCAAGTGTGTGTGTATGTTCGGTGTCCCCAGTTGTAGACTTGATGATAAGACTGGACTGGTATGAAGTTGCTATGATCCAGATCGTCCCCGATCTGCTTAGAGAGTTTGTGTATGTGTGTCCAGTGACCCCAAACTCACTATAGAGCTCCAATTGTTGCTTGAAGCTTGGTTCTTTGATCTGATGCTCTGTCTAGTTGAATTATTTCTTATTTGTTGTCACTTTGTACAGATTCTGTTGCGTTTCTTTTAATTTTCCATTGTTTTCTGTTTACTTTTGTTTGAATTTAGGTACGAGACAAAACATGTCAGAGGAGCTTTTGTGAGGAACAAGCAGACCATTTCTTCACGTCAGCCTCAAGGAAGGGTTAAGCGTTCAAGGAGTGTGTTGGAATTACAGAGAGTGAGGTATGGAATACCACCGCAACACAGTGTCAGTATCTAACCACCATTACGACTGCTAGTATTTACCAAGGATTCACGTAGCCAAGCGTATGCAGTTTTATATTTTTAGTTAATTGAGAGCTGCGCTTGTGTGTTGGTGAAACACAAAAGGATTGTTGATGTCCATATGGTTTTATGTTTGTATTTAGAAACTAGTGTTAATTTTAATTAAAATACGTTCATCTTTCTTTTTGTAGTACAGTTTTTGCTGTTTTGAGAATAGAAATACCTTTGAGTTGTGTTTTTAAGCGTCTACGTTAAAGACCCAGAAATGTGCTGCTGTTGAAATTCTGTTAGGTGTTGATTAGTCTTTCCCAGATGTTGAGATAATCTGTCTTGGATTATAGGAACAAGCAGAACCCTCCGTGAGCTGCATCCCGAAGAAGCCTGAGACAGACTGGTCTTCCTGCCCCGTTGAGGAAGAGGCCAGTTCACAGCACAAGCCTTTGGATGCTGGAGGAGACCTGGTATAAACATGTCTTACCATGATATACCATACCATGCCTGCCTTTTTACGGAGCTGTCCCCAATGTACGATTTGTCAAGTGTGTGTGTATGTTCGGTGTCCCCAGTTGTAGACTTGATGATAAGACTGGACTGGTATGAAGTTGCTATGATCCAGATCGTCCCCGATCTGCTTAGAGAGTTTGTGTATGTGTGTCCAGTGACCCCAAACTCACTATAGAGCTCCAATTGTTGCTTGAAGCTTGGTTCTTTGATCTGATGCTCTGTCTAGTTGAATTATTTCTTATTTGTTGTTACTTTTACAGATTCTTCAAAAGTAGATTCTACTGATTTTTTTTTTTAGATTGTTTTTCCTCGGTACTCTCTCATGTACTCTTATTTTTCTAGATAAATCAGAGTAGTTATCTGCATAATGTGCATTGTTTGTGTTTTTTTGTGGAATATTCTGTACTAGACAGATGTATTAAAATTGATCCTTTTTTCCCCTCACAGTCTGGAACTGCACAACCTGTCCAGAGCACAAATATGAAACAGAATGCATTGGAAAAGCAACGTAAAATGCTCTGCACGCTGAAGCAAGAACTTTCCCGTGAAATTTCCAAGATAGACAAATTGGTAAGTTATATAAACTGTATGTACCACTTTCAAACAATTTGTTTTTCTATTTCATTTAGACCATTAAGAAGACTTTTTGGTTGTGGTTAAATGTGTATTCATATATTAATGTAAATATTTGGCACAATTTGATTGACAGTCTAAAAGGTACTATGATTGCATTATTTATCTTATGACTTGTATGTCTTTTCAAGTTGGATATATCATCTCCTGGAGCTCACAGCCCTGACAGCAACTCCTCACTCAGTGATGAAGATGTAGAGGTATGGGCATTATTTAAATGTTTTTGTAATGTTCATTGTAGGATTCCTAAGCAGATTTCTAAATATATACACAATATCTAAATTCTAAAACTTCATACTAGGATTTCATACCTTATAATCACAGAAAAAAGACAGAATATAAAATTTATTTCACTGTTAACTTTATAGATGGACATTGATCAATTTTCAGTGGACTGACCACTGAACTTGTTTTTGTAAATATTTTTGTACAGTCCTTAAACATGATAAAAAAATTAATGGCCATCTCTGATGGAAGGACATGATCTATTTTGATCTATGACATTAACATCTGTTTGTGTACTTCAGAGTTTTCGACATGATTAGGGAGGGAGGGGTAAAATGAGTCGCCAAATATACTTTAGCAACATCTGAAACGTGGAGTTAAACATTCCCTGTTTGAGTGGAGCGATCGCGCGGACAGTCAGATTTAAGTATTAGTGCATTTCCAAACAATGAAAGTGAAAGAAAGAAGTGGGTTCATGCAGTTACAGCCCTGATTTAAACGAAAGTAAACTGAGGACACTGTGAGGCATTGGAAAACGGGAGAGCTAGCTGTTTTTAGCAGCTGGCTAACTTGAAGTAGCACTCCGTCACTCCACAACACGGAGAATTGATGATACTGTAGACCAAACAAGACACAAAAGCACCGCTTTCAATTTAAACATACATAAAAGGAGGACTGTTTGTCTGGTGTTGATATATTGTGGTTCACCCCTCAAATTACTATAGCGAAATCCAGTCGTCGCTAGCTGGTGTCTGAATACTGTGTTATGCTCTGACATGGATGTGGTTTGACTGATGGCAGAGAGGCAGTGTTATCCAGCACTGACGTACAGAGCCAGCTAATGTTTGCTGTTCGTACTAAGTTAACGTTGTTGAGAAACTAAACAGTGTAGCACTGTTGTTGGCTACTTGTTCTGCATTTGTAACGGGGTAGCCGAGCGCTCGTCACCAGACATCTAAAATAATCTTTTCTTTCTTAAATTATGACTTACAAAAACTGCGGCAGTGCTTTTCCAGCTGGTAAAAACAGCTCACCAGACACTTTCTCCCACTCTCCCATGACAGATTTGTGAAATGTTCCACTGTTTGGTGAGTGTTTGTCATGTTCTGTCCATAAAGGATAGTTTAACACAGCAATTAACCACCCAGGAGCAAAAATCAGCCTTCAAACTTGAAAGAAATAATGATTTGATATTTATCACGATACCTATCGATATCGAACGATATGAATTTTGTTTATCGTGATAACATTTTTGCCCATATCGCCCAGGTCTAATCTGTACCTGTATAATTCTTGTATTTATCTTCAGATGCCTTCTTTTTAGCATTGGTTAATTTCTTGCACGTGTTCTTTCAAAGGAAAAAATTTCATCACCACCACCTGGGAAATCTTCATCTAGAAAACGATCTGGGAGTAAAACAGACTATGAGCCAAGAAAACGTCAGGTATTTTCCTCACTTTAAGTCCATTAAACATCACTTGTTTTGTCTTTAACTATTCTTGTATCTTCCGGTTATATGTAATGCTTATGTTTAGAAGTTATTTATTTTCTTTTTGCCACGACCGGAAATTTGTCTGTAGATTTGTCATCAATTATTTTGACACAGAGCTGGGATATTACCTGCAGCAGTCCACAAATTCATGTTTGTCAGCATTCAGATGAAACTTACATTGTTATGGACTGACTAAATGTTTATGCAAATTGAACGTTGTTATATTAATCCACGATTGCTGTTTTCTGGTACACATTTTCTTATGCCAAATCTATCACACTATTACAATACTTTGGTTTTGTTTATTAAAATACCTTTTAAATAATGTTTATACTGTATGTTCATTAGTTTATATTTCATAAGTAGTCTTGACTTAAACCGAGCTATTGTTTCTGCAGAAAAGTGTTCTGACTCATGGGTTGATGTAATATCCATATATTAATTTAATTTCAGACCATTGGAAGTTCCTCAGATGACTCACCTGAGGAGTCTGGTAATACGGACTGCAGCGATGTAGATTACATTCCAGGCACTGATGAAAGCTCCTCTGATCAGTCCGGAAGAAGTTTGCAGCCCATTGCAAAGAAGCCTTTGCTTGTTCAAAGATTTTCCATCTCATCTTCAAAGCAAGACAACACAGAGAGTACACAAAATCTAACCGAAAACAGCAGCAATATGTATGTGTTGCCTCCATCAAATTTAAAGGCTCAGAGGGTGTATGACAAAAGGAACTTCTGTGCATTTTGCTTTAAGCCATCATCCAAAATTGCTCGCCATCTGGAAATAGTCCATCGAAGCGAAGTGGAGGTTGCACAAGCTGTTCAGTATCCAAAGGGTTCTAAAGCACGAAGAACAAGACTGAATGTTCTGCGAAATCGAGGAAATTTTGTCCATAATGCCGAAGTTGTGAGAAGGGGAACAGGACAGTTAGTGGCATGTTACCGACCTCGTGAACAAAGGGACGCGAAAGATTTCATCCATTGTGCTCACTGCCAAGGACTTTATTCTAAAAGGACTCTGTGGAGACACATGAAAAACTGCCCAAAGAAGACACAAGATTCTGATGAATCCCCCATCGCAAGAAAGCGTGTTAGATCTCTGTGTGCTCTTGCAACACCAGTTGGTCGGGATATAAGTGAGGGTTTAAAAAAGGTCCTGTCTCAAATGACGTATGATGATGTATATCATACTGTCCAAAATGATAAGTGTATTTTGCAGTTCGGTGAACACATGTTCAATCGGCATGGGTCAGATGTTAGCAAGCACGATTACATACGCCAGAAAATGCGTGAAGTAGGAAGACTTCTCTTGGAAGCTCAAAAATTAACCCCACTGAAAAAAATGGAAGACTTCATCATACCTGCTAACTTCTCGCATGTTGTATCGGCAGTGAAAGTGGTGGCTGGATACAATCCTGAAAAGAACACCTACAGCATTCCTTCACTGGCCCTCAAGCTCGGCCACAGTCTTCAAAAGATCTGTAGCATAGTTGAAAGTAATGCTATGATATGTGGAAACCAAACCATGGCAGAACAAGCTAAGAATTTCAGGATCATACACCAGGCCAGATGGAATGAGTTTATCTCTGCAGGTGCAATAACGACTCTCAAGGAAGCCAAGTGGAATGTCCCACAGATTTTACCATTCACAGAAGACGTTAAGCTTTTGAATGCTCACCTGGAAAAGAAACAAGATGAGTATGAGAAGCAACTAAGAACAATCCCAACAGCTGACAGTTATGCTTCCCTGGCTAAGGTAACACTTGCTTTAGCAATCATCTTTAATAGGAGAAGAGCAGGAGAGGTGTCAAGAATGGATATGTCTGCTTTCATGTCAAGAAATAATGCAGAACTACATGAAGATATTGCTCTTTGTCTACCAAAATTTGAGCAAAAGATGTGCCAGTTCTTTTCCAGAGTTGAGTTTCGTGGGAAACGAGGGAGAATGGTTGCTGTACTTTTAAAACCATCTATGGTAGCATCTCTTAAGCTCCTTGCTGAAAGCCGTGAGAAGTGTGGAGTCCCAAAAGAGAATCCCTTTATGTTCGCGAGACCTGGTGCAATGTCTGCATACAGAGGGGCAGAGTGTCTCCGCAAATTTGCAAATGAATGTGGGGCCAAACATCCTCAGGCACTCACATCCACAAAGCTCCGTAAACATATTGCAACCATGTCCCAAGTCTTGAATCTGGAGGAAAATGAGGCTGATCAGCTTGCAGATTTTTTAGGACATGATATCCGCATCCATCGACAGTACTACCGTCTGCCACAAGGAACTTTGCAGCTCGCTAAAATGAGCAAAGTTTTAATGGCTATGGAACGAGGAATGCTGTCGGAATTCAAAGGCAAATCGCTGGATGAAATTGAAATACACCCTGATGGTATGAACATGATTGTTTTTAAATTATATATATTTGATTAATATTAGTGGAATATGAACCATTTGTAATGCAATGTGATGACAGAATATATATTCATATAGTGTTCTGTATGTTTTGCACTTCCTGTGTACTGTTTCTCACTATTACATTAGAGAACCTGGTTCATTCAGAATGCGAACTGTCGAGTGATGATGATGAAGACGAGCCTACAGACACAGTAGCAGCAGAATCTATTAAGCCCGCAGTTCCAGCTACTGATCCTGATTCCACAGCATCTTCTATAGCACCTATCACACCCAAACAACCAGGTAAAAATATATTTAATTATTCAAACAAAAAAAAATTACTGTATTAGTTTTTATATTTATTTATATTTATCTGCAGGGATATCTGATTATATAATCATCTGTTTTTATGGGAGCATTTTGAAAATATATTGACTAGGGGTGGGAATCTCCAGGCACCTCACGATTCGATACGATTACGATTCAGAGGGCTGCGATGCGATTATAAAACGATTATCAATGCATCTTTTTTTTTTTCTATACAGCATTTCTGTTTTCTCACTGTGTGAGTTCAAGTTCAAGTTTCAAGTTTATTTGTTTTTTGCACAACGTGTCAGGACATTTATGCATTGAAATGCTTGTGGTGCGGCTCAGCTAATCACTCTACAGAAAGTAAATAAGTAAAAATAAAAATACAAGAAAAACCAACTGACATATTAAATATACACAAAATATACACAGAATATAGAGACAATATAAATTTTAAAGTGACTAAGTGACTCAGTGTTGTTATTTAAAGTGACTTGGTACTTTTAAACCAAAGTATTTGTAATGATCCATAATGAATTTACTTCAAATATCTCCCATGGACCCTCACAGAGCAGGTACTATTTGGGTGGTGGATCATTCTCAGCACTGCAGTAACACTGATGTGGTGGTGGTGTTAGTGTGTGTTGTGCTGGTGCGAGTGGATCAGACACAGCAGTGCTGCTGGAGTTCTCAGTGTTACTGCAGTGCTGAGAATGATCCACCACCCAAATAGTACCTGCTCTGTGACAGTCCATGGGGGTCCTGACCACTGAAGAACAGGGTAAAAGGGGGCTAACAAAGTATCAGAGAAACAGATGGACTACAGTCTGTAATTGTAGAACATGAATATATATAATCCTTATGATGCTCATAGATCAGCTTTGAGCCAACAAAATTTTGCCTGTTTTTTGTTTAGTTTGTTTTACAATAGAAAAGGATCATAAAACACATTTTGCAGTACTTAATCTTGCACTGATCTATTTCTGTTTTCCTCAAAGATGCCACAAGAAAGCCAAAACGTAAGTGGGAAGACTCAGAGGTACGTGCAGTAGAGCGACACCTGATAAGATTCATCCAGACCGGTAAAGTGCCTCAGAAGCGAGAGTGCATCCAGTGTTTACTTGCAGAATCACATGTGCTAAGAGAGAGGTCATGGACAGATGTGAAAAATTTTGTAAGGAACAGAAGCATCACCTTGAAGAAACAATTCAGCACCTCGTTAGTGTAAAATGGGGTTAACGAAAAAAAAAGCCCTGTTCTGCTGTGCCCTTGGGTATTTGACAAAACAGGATTTGTCAGTTTAGCTAGATAACTGAAGCCCAAAGTCAAGCCTGTCCAGTAGGAAAAGAGTTGTGGAACATTCCTATCACATAATCCTGAATTTTGGGCTTAAGATATCTGGCTAACTGCTTTGTGAAATATACTTCCAGCTTTGTAAAATACTATCTTGTTGGCAAGTATGTAGTTAAGTTTTTCTTCTTGTTCCACTTGAAAAGCATTTTTATGTATCTTATGTTTGTAGATTATCCTTGCTGTTAGAACAAAACCTTGTATCCCCAAATCACGTCACGATGCTGCAGAAGAAGGAAAAATGCCTTTACATTGTCAAAGAAAGTTAATTTGATGAGATTCTATTCCAAATAGTTTTGGAGCATTTTATTTTAGTTCAGTCATCACAAAATTTTTACACAATGTAAGGCGCTTTTGAATAACAATTGGGGTAACAATTGAGTTATAAGAATTGAGTTTTGATTTGCCAATAAAGATGTTTGTATATTGGTATAAACTGCTACATATATCGTTTTTACTATTGCATTTTGTAAATGAATGCAGACAAACATACAGTACTGTGCAAAAGTCTTGTGAAGTAACACTAACTTTAGAATAAATATAAATTGGCATACAGCAATCCATCCTATTCAGTACTTCATTAAATTAAATCAGGTGCTGCTGGTAGAATTTGACACAGCCAATCTTCTAGCCAACATATCAATAACTTTACTGAAACTAAACCTGTGTTCCAACGGTGGTCTTCTTCCCAACATATCAATAACTTTACTGAAACTAAACCTGTGTTCCAACGGTGGTCTTCTTCCCAACATATCAATAACTTTACTGAAACTAAACCTGTGTTCCAACGGTGGTCTTCTTCCCAACGTATCAATAACTTTACTAAAACTAAATCTGTGTGCCAATGGTGGTGTTCTTCCCAACGTATCAATAACTTTACTAAAACTAAACCTGTGTTCCAACGGTGGTCTTCTTCCCAACATATCAATAACTTTACTGACAAACACCACATTTTCCCATATGTCAGCGATGTTTGATATTTGATATTGATATTAGATGGCTTGGTCTATATGTTGCAGCTTTGTGAGTAAGGGTGTTTGTGAGCTAATGTAATTCATATTTATGTTTTGCTTGTTTTTGAAGTTGTTTCCACAAATACAAGAGATAACAACTAGTGTTTTCATTGATGTTAATAGAGTATACATAACACTTACATTTGATCACTATTGGATCATACATAATTCATACGTTTTCTAAGATGTTAGAAAAATCCTTAAATGAAATCAGTTATTGCGCAGACTAGTAGGGCTGAACAATTTGGGCCAAATATCCTTTTGCGATTTTTCTGACCAATATTGTGATTGTGATTTTCGGTGTATACACATTTTTTTCTGTCTTGAGGTTTGAACATAGCCAGTTAACACACCAGACAGACAGTCAATTAAGTATTCATGTACACTGCACATGGGTTGTTTCTGATTGGTTGAACTCATCTAGAGGTGGTTCACAGGCTCTGTGTTATTAGGTTAAATTTTCCCACTTAAAACTAAAACAGTTGCACCCTTTCAAATTGCAATTTCGAGATTAATCTTTCAGCACTACAGAGTAGCATAATCAGATTTAAAAATAGTGATAATATATCACTAACCTCATGATAATACTGTTATTTCTCCACGCATAATATCAGGTGTAATGTTTATATATGAAGTGGCTGTATACAACAGTGGCATGTCTGCCTACTTACAGACATGGAAAGATAGCTTAGGTCATCGAATTTGCTTTGGCTTATTTTCTCAACCTATTTAGCTTATTGTGGCAACCCAGCTTTGTCTTGTATTCTGTGTTGGGAAGAGTTGAAACTGCATAGAGTTAGTTCCTAGGATTGAGAAATACTGGTCTAGATCTTTATGAATATTAAAGTTCACCGGTATGCAAGGAAGGACAACATCTAGTAGGGTAATAGCAGGCCAAATTACATTTTAGCTTGGTTTTATTATTATATTAGACTGCATACTACATACCGCTCATCTTCAGTTTTTCCAGTAAGCCAAACATACCTGGATGACGTACTGCTCAGGCAAATATATCAGTATGCAACCAGTGCTACCTTCATAATGCATCCCAAATGCAGTATCTTCATTTCAGGACGATGCTACCACTGCAATGTAACCACCACGACATAACAACAGCAATGTAACTGCCAGGATAGCCTTCATTTTTTTTCCCTATGAATAAAAATGACGGCTAAATGAAGAAAAAAATGCTGCTGCATGTTGCTCAGCCTAAATCGTAAAAGATCTTAGACCCTCTGAACGTACTTCTAAGAACAGATGATTTTGATAATAAAAAAGCATTACTGCAGGAGGGTAGCTAAAAAAACATTTAATTTCATGTATAGGATGGGTTTCCTTCACCTGTCCCCAAAGTTGAGTGAAGGTATTCAAAAGTGACTTTTTTCAGAGTTTGTGTATGTGTATGGAATAGGTCCCCAAATGTGTCCTAAAAAATACTTGTCCCCAAATGTCACGTTGGTCAAAACATGCTTGAATCAAAAATATCAAGTGATTTTTGTGTTACTGAAGCATTTTGGAGCAGATCTGTGTTGTCAGCTTTTCTCTAACTCATTCAGAAAGGGGTGTCCCCGCGGTGGGGGCTTTCTGTCCTACGACCTCAAATGTGTCCTAAGACAGTAT